TGGCTGGAAACCTCTGGGAGAGCTGGGACCTCTCAGGCCCTCCATCCATCATCCATCCATCCATCCATCCATCCATCCATCCATCATCCATCCATCCATCCATCCATCCATCCATCCATCCATCCATCATCCCAACCCCATCCCCTGTGCCATGGCCAGCATGGTGGTGACACCCTGAGCAGCAGGGACCTCTCTTGGAGAGCTGAGCCAATCCATCAGACAATTCCCAAAGGCTCCTCCCCTCCACAGGGGCTGTGTTGGGGTCCCTACACACTCCTGTCCCTGGTGTGGCATCCAGAAACCAGGGAAAGCCTCCCAGCACAGCAGCCTGGAGGGGGCCCTGGAGCAGTTTGGGGGCTGTGGAAAGCAGGTGGGTGCTGGAGAGAGAGATCTTGTGTGTCTGGGGTTAGGGGGGCTCAGCTGTGTCCCTGTGCCCATGGCCCATCTCACTGAGCACAGGGGATCAGCCAGGGGTCAATGACACTGGGTTTAGCTGTGCCTGAGCCACCTCTGTGCACAGACGTCCCCAAAGGCACATCCCAAAGGCACAGATCCCCAAAGGCACATCCCAAAGGCACATTCCCAAAGGCACAGATCCCCAAAGGCACAGATCCTTAAAGGCACAATCCCAAAGGCACAGATCCCCAAAGGCACAGATCCCCAAAGGCACATCTCCAAAAGCACATCCCAAAGGCACAGATCCCCAAAGGTACATCCCAAAGGCACAATCCCAAAAGCACATTCCCAAAGGCACAGATCCCCAAAGGCACAGATCCCCAAAGGTACATCCCAAAGGCACATTCCCAAAGGCACAGATCCCCAAAGGCACATTCCCAAAGGCACAATCCCAAAGGCACAATCCCAAAGGCACAGATCCTTAAAGGCACAATCCCAAAGGCACATTCCCAAAGGCACAGATCCCCAAAGGCACAATCCCAAAGGCACATTCCCAAAGGCACAGATCCCCAAAGGCACAGATCCTTAAAGGCACAATCCCAAAGGCACAGATCCCCAAAGGCACATTCCCAAAGGCACAGATCCCCAAAGGCACAGATCCTTAAAGGCACAATCCCAAAGGCACAATCCCAAAGGCACAGATCCCCAAAGGCACATTCCCAAAGGCACAATCCCAAAGGCACAGATCCCCAAAGGCACATTCCCAAAGGCACAATCCCAAAGGCACATCTCCAAAAGCACATCCCCAAAGGCACAGATCCCCAAGGCACATCCTGGCCCTGGGGTTACAGAGCTGCCTCCTGCCAGCACAGCCACAGAGGCCAAGGTGTCCCCAGGCTGTGCCCACGGCTGATGGGGGATATTTGGGAAGGCAGAGCAGCACAACCAAACCTCATCCTGTGAGCCAGGGCCAGCACAGTCCCTGCTGGATTGGGACACCACAGGGACATCAGGCTCTGCCTCAAGGAAGGTGCCCAAGCCCTGGGAGGAGTTTGGGGCTCCCTGGGCAATCATTCACCACCTTCACTCCAGCACCAAGTCCCCTTTCCCCTCTGATGCCAGGTCCCTGTCCCTCCCTGCCTCTCCTCTCCCTTTTCAGCTGCTCTGGTTTACATAATTAAAGCAAATTTCTTGTAACAACATCGTAATGCCCTCTGCCCCTTTGGGTGCTGCTTCTCCTCTCCTCTCCTGCATCCCTGCTCAGCTCAGCATCCTCACAGCCACAGAACAGGCCAGAGGGTCCCAGGGGATGAGGAAGGGGCTCCAGGCATTGTTCTGAAAATGGGATGTCCAGGGGCCACCACACCTCCCCATCCCACTGCCAGGTCCCAGGGGCTGTAGCCAAATAAATGGTCAATGCATGCCAAAAAATCCCCTTGGAGGGGCCACAGCTCAGCTGTGACAGAAGTGACTCTTTCTGAGCGTTCAGCCCCAAAGCGGTGCCGGAGCCAGTGCACGACTCCTTCTCCCATCCCCAGGCGGCACCAAAAGTGAGTTCATTGTTTGAAAAGCCATCAGTCAAGGCTTGCTGGCTAAAATTACCCTCCTGCTTTATCATCTTGAGAACATTAAGGGCTGTTGTTAACAGATGTTTCGCGTTACACATTATTTGTTAGTCTAATGAAAGGAGGTGAACAAGCTTTCAAGACCTCAGAAGTTGTGCCGAAGGTTTTCCATGGGAGGCTGTTGCACCACTCCAGGGGAGAATGAAGATGAAGATGAGGGTGTGAATGAGCTCTCACCACCCTGTTAACTTTTCCTTGCTCTTGCCCGGCTTGTGGGATTTCTGATTTTTGGGTGTCACGGGAGCAATGTGTTGCACAGATATTTGCATTCACCGTCCCAGGAGGATGCTCTGGGTACACTCAGTGGCCAAGGCAGGGGCTGAGCAGCCCAGAGGGAGCTGGGCATGGCTCTGGTCCTCAGAATCCTCCAAAGTGCCAGGGGAAGGGATGCCAGCCCTGCAAGGGGCTCCTGGAGGGGAGCTGTGCCAAGGGCCCCGGACACGGAGCTGCCTCCAGGGCTGAATCCCCTTCTGCAGAGCATAAATCCCTGCCCTGAGCTTCTCTGGGAATGGAACCCTCTCACTGCAGCTTCCCTGGGGAAGGGGAGGGGGTTTGGGGGGTCTCAGCCTGCTGGGCACAGCCTGGGGCTGCCTGAAGCATCCCTGTGCCAGCTCTGCCAGCGCAGCCCCCAGTGAGCCCTGCCTGGTGCAGGGTCCCAGAGCCTCACAGCAGCTCCAGGGGTCCCAGAGCCTCACAGCAGCTCCAGGGGCCCCACAGCTTCACAGCACCTTCAGGGGTCCCACAGCTTCATAGAACTTCAGGGGTCCCAGAGCCTCACAGCACCTTCAGGGGTCCCACAGCTTCACCTTCAGGGGTCCCACAGCTTCAGCTCCAGGGGTCCCACAGCCTCACAGCAGCTCCAGGGGTCCCACAGAGGGTTCAGGGCTGCTCTTCCTCCACCCCAGCAGCACAAAGCCCCCGAGGGCTCCTGGCTGGAGCTCAGAGCCACATCCTGCAGAGATGCAGGGGCACCGTGGCCACTTGTGTTCATAACAAACCCACTGCCAGCAGCTGTGGGGCTCCAAACCTGCCTCTGGCAGGAAAACCCCACGATGGTGAAGAGGAAGAGGAGAGCAAATGCCAAGGAACTGTTTTATTTCAGGATGCCAATAGAAGATAAGGTCACCAGCAGAAGTTCCTTTGCTGTCATTGCATATTGGAGCAAAAGGCTGATGCTCTCAAAGGCAGGTCATCTGCCTGGTATTTCAGGTCTCTCCATCTCAGTTTAGGCAATTGCATCCCAGTTAAGGCAGTGGCAGCAGGTAAGGGTCTCAAAGTTCCAGCTTTGCGTGCACACAGGCTCTTGTCTCTGTTTCCTTGCCATCTTCTTGCCCACTGCTCCCAACTCCTGGGTGTTTTTCGACATCAGAAACGCTTCAGCTGCTGCTCAGCTGTCAGAGCATCCCAGGTGCTGATGGTGCCTCCATCCATGCCAGCTTGCCAGAACAGGTGCTAACGGGAAATATCCCACATGGGCCAGCACTGCTGGGACCTGCAGAGCAACCCCAGGGCCCTGCCTGGGAGGAATGGGCTTTAGGGTGAAGAACAGGCTTGTGGTGACCGTGCAGCCTCTCACTCTGCTTTTTGCATCACGCTGGGTCCACGCTGGGTTCTCTGGGTGCATTAGAAGCCCAGCAGGGCAGTTGTGTCTCTGATGCTTTGCAAACAGCCCTGTGAGACTGCTGAGGGCTGGGTTTCCCTAAGCTGTGCTGATCCCACATGGAATACTGTCCCCCTAGAGCCCCACAGGCAGGAGAAACCCTCCCCACAGCCCCACAGCACTGCTGAAAGTACACACAAAACCCAAGGGAAAGGGAGGGAGGGTGGAAAATAACACTGAAAACACCAGACACCATCCCAAAAAGCAGCGCCCAGCCCTCAGCAAGGCAGAGGCAGGCTGGGGGCTCAGCGGGGCTGCTCCATGGAGGGGGAGGTTGTGCAGGGAATGAGGGCTGGAGAAAGATGCTGCAGACCCGCAGGCAGTGTCGGAGCCACGGGAGGGACAGAGAGAGCACCGGGGGCATTGAAGGGACCGAGCCCCTTCAGCAGCACAGACCCCCGATGGGCTGAGCCCTCGGCAGGGCTGTCAGCACCCAGGGCTGTAAGAAACAAGCCTGGGGTAGCACAGCCCAGCCGGGACAGTCCTGGGGAGTGTCACCCCTCGGGGAGGGCACCGGCCCGGGCTCTGGGCATGGGGGCTCTGCCTCCGCAATGTCACCGCTGTGTCCCGAGGGGACACCCGGCCCCGGGGGGCTCTGGGGGCCGTCGGCTGCCCCGGCACTGAGGCTTTGCCACAGGAATGGGGCGAACCCTGCTCACCCCGTCCCAGGAGCGGAGCGGGGATGCGCAGGAGCGGCGCCGAGGGAGAGATGCGAGCGGGATTGTCCCGTTAGAAACGCGCCTCCGGCCGGGACCGAGCGCCATGAAACGGCGGCTCTGTCCCCTCATGTCTCCCGGCTCGGTCCCGCTCTCCTGTCCCAGCCCCGGCTCTGTCCCCGCTGACGCCGGGGTCGCGCAGCTGCCGGGACGGGACCGGTCCCTGCTGTGTCCCGGTCCCCGCAGTGGCCCGGAAACCGAGACCGGGAGCCCCGGGGGACGTGGGGACCCCGCAGGCCGCGCAGCCCCGGCTCGGAGCGACTTCCCGGGAGCGTCCCGGACCCGACACCTCCGGCGCCGGCCAGGAGGCGGCCGGTGCGGCGTCCCTGTGCTCTCTGTCCCGGGTGCGGGGTCCCTGTGCCCCTGTCCCGGGTTCGGGGTCCCTCGCTCACGGTGCGGGGTCCCTGTGCCCCCTTTGCCCGGGTGCGGGGTCCCTGGCTCACGGTGCGGGGTCCCTCTCCCGCAGCCGTCGGGGGGTCCCCACCTCGCCGCTCGCCTCCCACCCCTCTGGGGGTGACACCGACCCCCTTTGTCCGGGGTGCAGGGGGACACGGCGGGGACCCCCCATCCCCAGGCTGCCCACCCCGGCCCGGCGGGACTCACCGTCCTGGGGCGCTGCCTCGCTGCCGCTGCTGCCTCCCGACGGCTCCGGGATGGCCTTGGCGCCACCGGCGGGCGGGGGACCGGCCGCGGGGGTCCCGTTCATACCGGCCGCCACCTCCTCCAGGTCCAGGAGGTGGCTCACGCTGAAGTTTTTCCGGCTCTGAGCGTTTTCGGGCGGCTCCGGGCCGCGCACGGCGCCGGGGGCGAACGGCTTGTCCATGGCAAAGGCTGGCGCCGAGTCCATGGCTCCCACCCCCAGCCCGCAGCCCAGCCCGAGGTGCCGGGCCGCTCCCCGGCCCCCTTCCCCTTCCCCACCCACCCCCCCACCAAAAAAATAAAAAGAAAAAAAAAAAAAAAGAGAAAAAAATTAAAATAATTATAATTTTTTTTTAAATAAGGGAAAAAAAAAAAAATCACTGCTGCCCTGAGTCCGGCTCCCTCCCCAGCCCCTGTTCCGCCTTGTGCTGACGTCTGGGGAAAAAACCACGCTCCCAGCCCAAACTTTCTTCCCCTGCTCTTTGCTCTGGAGCTGTTCAAACAAACGCCCCTGCTCTGATGCTCTGAGCCGAGCGGGGCGGCCCCTCAACCCCCCCGGCCCTGCGAGCTGCCCCCCTGCCAGGGAGCGAGCCCCGCCGGCACCGAGCGCGGAAAGGGGGCAGAGAGGGGGGCAGAGAGGGGGCAGAAAGGGGAGCAGAGAGGGGGGCAGAAAGGGGGCAGAGCTGCTTCCCCCCCTCCCTCTCTCTCCCCCCCTTATCCCATCCGCATCACCCCCCCAGCCCTGTTTAAGTGCTTCTATCAACAAGTGTAAGTGGCTGCGCTCCGTGGGGAGGGATGGGGCGGGCTGGCAGAGGGGCTGCAGGGAGAGGTGACCCGCAGGTTAGCGGGGGACACGGCCCCCCTCCACCTCCAGGCGCCCCCCTCCTCCGGTCGCCATCAACCCCGCAGCAAGGTCACCTCCCCTGGGAAAAGCCTGGCTCTCTCGCCTTAATGAGATAATTACGTCCTGCACCACAGTTAAAAACTCATAGGCTGCTTCCCTTGGGGTTAGAAAGAAACCTCCCTAATGAAAACCAGCCACCGGGAAAAAAAGGAGTTTTTCCTCTTTAAAATTATATATATTTATATATGTGTGTGTATACATGCACTCAGATATGCAGGGCGGAGGCAGCGGGAGGGAGGGAGGAGAGGGGCAGACCCCCGGGCTGGTTGTTGGTATCCGGAGAGCGCCGGGCTCGGGGCGATCAGCACAAATCGAAGAGGTTAAACTTAAATTTTTCCTTCCCCTCCATTCCAGCCGCTCTCCTGCCCCGCCGCTGCGGGGACATTTGGACGGGGCTGCGCTGGGTTCCACGCGAAACCTCGGAGCGGGATGGGGCGGCTCTGAGCTCACAAACATCCCTGCTCCAGCCCGGCCGAGGGAGGCAAACCCCGGGCTGAGTTATTTTAACATTTGTCGAAAGCTTGCCTTGCGCTCCCTTCCCCTGCAGTCGGGTTTTTAAGGCGGCCGGCGCTGCCAAATCTGATTTTCCTGACGGGGCAGCGCCTCCGCAGAGCTCTCCAGCCCGCACGGGGCGCAGCTGAAGGCAGATTTTGGCTCTCTCCGGCTCTGCAGGGGGCTCCTCCAGTGTGCAAACAAGCCAGCCCAACCTCCCTTCCCCCTTTTTGTTGTGCTCGGGTCATTTTGTTGGTTCTGTCGGTCCGGTTTGTGGCCCCAGGGGTGCTCTGGGAGCCAGCCCCGGTGTCGGCTTCTGTCCCCTCCTGGGCTGTGTAAATCTCGGGCTGCTGTCACACTGTCCCACTGTCACACTGTCACACTGCCCCTGCTCCTGTTTCCCTGAGGGATGCTCCCAAGGATGGGAGTTTTGGCTCTCCGAGGTGTCCCCTGTCCCCCCGTGCCCACCGCACCCATGCACCCCGTGTGTATTTTAGAACACAAATAAATTGCCAGCATCCTCTTGGCTGCTCCCTACTCTCAGGGAGGGCATGGCTGCATCACCCCTGGCACCACCAGGCTCTGATGCCACCTTTTCCTCACTCCATCCTGCTTTTTCCCACCATGACTGCAGGGACAGACCCCAGGATGGGGATGACTCCAAATCCAGGAAAATCTGCCCCAGGATCAGCCCTGGCAGTGACCCTTCAGCAGCGGGCACTGGCTGTGCCAGGGCAGTGGGGACCCCCATCCTTGGGGTGCCCCAGTCCCCTCTCTTAGCTCCAGGGCTGGGAACAGCTTGCTGGGATTATTTTGGGGGTGGCTGCTCCTGTCCCATGCAGGGGCAAGGCCAGGATGGGGCTGCCACAAGGAGCAGCCCCATCCCCGTTTATAACCCTCTTCCTCCTCCTCCTTGTTTAGGGCCAGACCTTATTCTTGAACTGTCTGGCTTTTCCAGGGCGGACAGCTTTCCCTCAGTCCGTGGCATTGAATAATTAAATGGGGGGAATAATCGTCAGTGAAACCCCCTTGGGTTCGCACTTCCTCGGGCCCTGTGATTGCTGATATTTTTTTGGTTGAAATATGACCTTTTTTATGATCAAAGGGGATCAGAGTTCCAAAGGAAAGTTAAAAAAAAAAAAAGAAAAAAAAAAAGGAGGGCGAGCATTTTCTTTTTTTCCCAGTCCTAGCGGTCTGGTAAAGTTTCTTTAGACATGCAAAGATTTACACACCTTTCTGCAGGGTGCCTTAAATTACCCTCCAACTCTTTACACATTTCCATGAGCAGAGCAAGAACAGTAAGTCATTGAGAAATTAACTGGCCTTTCAGTAATATCCCCTGTCAGCCTTTCAGAAGGAGAATGTCTAATGACTTTTTTGAAGTAGAGGTCAGGGTTTGCTTTTTTTAAATAAAACAATCTGTATTAATGCAATTTCCTTTTTAGCTGTAGGATTTGCCCTTTTTTTTTCTTTTCCTCAGCATCGTTTTTTTTAACACCACCAGCCACACGAGCCATCCCAAGCAAGACCTGGTTGTTTGAAACACACACCCCTGGTGTTTCCTAACCCGCTTGTGCGAGCTCTTCTAATTTATTTTTTTGCTAAAAATTGTGTTTTAAAATGGAATTCGAAGATGGCAAGGTGATTATTGGGCAAAACGTGGGTGGTGCAGGGACAAAGCTGAGCAGGTTTGCTTTTTGCTTTAGCTGGCACCAGCAGCTGGGTTTTGCTGAGCTGGGTGTGAGCTCTGAGTCTCCTCAGGGGTTTGCAGCCCTTGGGATGGATGAGTTTCTGTTTGCCAGTCCTTCATCTTCCTCTCAAAAGAAAAAGATTTTAAATATTATATTTTTTGGTAATCTCACTTTGTGTTTTCCAGGGCTTTCCTGATATTTCTGTCACGCTGTGCCCACACTTTGTCCTTCCATGGTGCTCAGCATGGCCTGGAGCTGGATGTGCTCTGCCAGCCCAGCCCCTGCTCACCCCAAAACCATGGGCTGGGGCAGTGCAGCCTCCTTGGAGCACTGCCTGGGATGGGATGGGATGGGATGGGATGGTGCTGCTCCTTGCGGCACCCAGCTGTTCCCTCCTAACATTCCCAAAATCCTGCCCTGTGGCAGAGAAGCTGGGCTGGCTCATCCACAGCTGAAGGATTTTCTGGCTGTGGAGTTGCTGCACTGGAGGATGCTCAGAGGGGACTGTGGGGGATGGAGGGGGCTTGGCAGTGCCTGGCCAGGACCAGAAATGAGCTCTGGCTATGGGTGGGTGCCCAGCCCCGTGTCCTGCCCGGGCTGGGGAGCAGAGCACCCCCTGCACCCCCAGGGCATCAGGGCAGTGCCACCCGCAGGGGTGACAGCCTGGGGCAGTTGCTGGAGGAGTCCCCCATGCCCAGCCCTGCCTTTCCCAGCAGGAATGGTATTTCTGGATTTACTGAGCAGCTCCTCTTTCTCCCTCCATCCCTGCCAGACCCCAAAAGTACAGCGTGGCCTGTGCTGGCTCCTCTCCTCCTCCTCCTCCTCCTCCTCTCCCCTGCAGCCCTCACAACTCCCCCCGCTGCCTCCCAGCTCCCTGTCTCTGTGGTGGCATCATAAAACACCCCAGCCAGCCCCTTGGTGAGGATTTTTCTCCCAGCTTTCTCATTCCCACTCTTTCTGCCTCTCTTCTGCTCTTTCTTTCTCTCCCTCTCTTTCTTTCCCTGCCAGGAATCCCAGTCAGTCCCAGATGAACCAATACTCCGTGGCTCTGCTATTTCCCTTTTATTCCCCCCCTCCTTCAACAGCGAGATGGGAAAAGAGTGAACTAAAAAAAAAAAAAAAAAAAAAAAAAAAAAAAAAAAAAAAAAAAGGAAAAAAAAAAAAGAGAAAGAAAGAAAGAAAAAAATCAAAGCGGCACATATTGGATCCAGATGTGCTTACAGCCCTTTCCAGCAATTTAATTAAATTCCCCCAGACAGCCAGGAGGATTTCTTAATGATCAAATTTCCCTGGCTTTCCTCCTAAAATGCCCCTCTTTCTTCGGCTGGCTGTTGCTGTGTCTCCCTGATGGATGGATGGCCAACTCTGCATTCTTCTGAGCCCGCCCCGCCAGGGCCACGGGGAGGAAGGGGCAGAGCCCGGGGCTGTTACCCCAGCCAGGAATTCAAATACCCCATCCTGGTGCTGTTACCCCAGCCAGGCACCCAAATACCCCATCCTGGGGCTGTTATCTCAGCCAGGAATTCAAATACCCCATCCTGGTGCTGTTACCCCAGCCAGGAATTCAAATACTCCATCCTGGTGCTGTTACCCCAGGCAGGCACCCAAATACCCCAGCCTGGTGCTGTTATTGCACCCAAATACCCCAGCCTGCTGCTGTTTTTGAAGTCAGACACCCAAACACCCCAGCCTGGTACCCAAACACCCCAGCCTGGTGCTGTTACCCCAGCCAGGCACTCCAACAGCCCATCCAGCAATGACCCTGCTTGCAAAACCTCTGCTCCCAGGAAATGTGGGGCTGGGGATCCCTTCCCTGGGGTCTGTGTCCTGTGCTGTGCTCGTGGCAGGGGAGGAATCCCACCCGTGGGGACTCACTGGTGGCAAGGGAAAGGCTCAGCCTGTGGCTGTCCTGGTTTGTCACCTCCCAGGGATGGTTTGGAGCCAGGTTTGGTTCCACCAAAGCCTTCTTTCAAGCTGAGGGTGAGCAGGTTGGGGGCAAAGCCTCTGTGGGGCTCCTGAAAAGGCACATTTGGGTTGGCACGGCCCTTTGGGGCAGCCCAGTGTCCCCTCTCATCCTCAGGGACATCATGGCTGGGGTCAGAGGTAGCACTGGGGTGACCC